TTGTGGAGGAAAAGAGAGACTCCCTGTAAAGTTTCTTGCAAAATTGCTTCTCAAAATAGCCTTAAAAGGTGTCAGAAAGTCAAAAGCTCGCTCATACAAACTCTCATTTTTCTCTCCCAGTTTTTTCCTGTTAGTTTCTGTAAGTGGTTGATGGCTGTCAGCTAACATTTTTAGTATCTGTAACACTGGAGCGATAGATGGTATTGTTAACTCCACCCATGCATCAGTTTCCTGCTGCTTAATCCTAATACTAAAACTGATTAGTTCTAATATTAGGATTGCTAAATTATATTACAGTCCCTGGCTACGTTATTGTTGGTGCTGATATTTACTCAGCCAGTCACAAGGCAGCAACTGAGTGCATTTTGGCATGTAGACACAACCTGCTGAAGCTCAAACCGAGCATCAGAATGAGGAAGAAAGGTGACTTTGAACGTGGCATGGTTGTTGCTGCCAGACGGTCTGGTTTGAGTATTTCAGAAACAAGTTAATCTACAACTTTCCCACACAACCACCTCCAGGGTTTACAGACAATGGGCCAATAAAGAGAAAAATATCCAGTGAGCAGCAGTTCTCTGGGTGAAAATACTTTGTTGATACCAGATGTCAGAGTAGAAGGGTCAGACTTCTTTGAGCTGATAGGAACAATAGTGAGTCAAATAACTACTCATTAAAACAAAGGTGTGCAGAAAGGCATCTGTGAACACATGTCGAACCTTGAGGCAGACGGGCTACAGCAGCAGAAGACCAGACCAAGTGCCAGTCCTGTTACCTAAGAACAGGAACTAAAATTGGACAACAGAAGGTGTTAAAAAAATATTGCCTGATGTGATGGGTTTCAATTTGTACCCTGATATTTAGGTGGTAGGTTCAGGGTTTGGCGTTAACAACATAAAGTATGGATCCATCCTGCCTTGTATCAATGGTCCACGCTGCTGCTGGTGGTGTAAGAGTGTTCAGGTTATTTTTCGGCACACTTTGAGCCCCTTACTACCAACTGAGCATTGTTTAAATGCCACAGCCTACCCGAGTCCATATTTTTAAGACCACATCGTACCCATCTTCTGATGCCCATTTCCAGCAGGTTAATGTGCCATGAAAACCTCAGATCATCTCTGCAACAGTTGTTTGATGCCATCATGCCAACACGGACCAGAATTTCTGAGGAATGTTTTAAGCACCTTGGGCCTATCTGACAGGCAGTGCTTTGAGCAGCTGAAATACAAAAGTAACTATGAAATGAAATAATGTGTATATATAATCTAGAGGAATATATACAAAACAAGAGAAAGGCACACAATGGAGAGCAAAGTGAGAGTAGTGCAAAGAAAAAAGACTTGGTCTCAGCAGAGTCTGTTTGTGAGTGATGAGTGACGAGACCGTGGCTCAGATTGGTAAGGTGTGGTGTCGGGGTACAGTGTTTGTTAGCTGTCCGAATGGCCCATCGGAAGAAGCTGTTAGTGACCCTGGAGGTCGACCAGAGGGTAGTGGGTCAAACTGGTGGTGTGCAGGGTGCAAGAGGTCACCTGTAATGACCCTGGTTTTCCTGAGACAGGAGCCAGTGATTTCTTGGGCATTGTTAATTACCTTGTGCACAGCCTTCCTGTTGTCAGAGGTGGACCATGTGTACCAAACATCCAGGCAGTAGGAGAGCAGTACAAGGCTCCTTTATTTTTTTTTTAAAGGAATTTAATTTTTAAGGAATAAGGAATGCTCCGATTGTTTTCAGTTGGTGAAAGATCTGGACTGCTGCCAGGCCTCTTCGCCACCCAGACTCCCTTTACTGGTATAGAATAGAATAGTAAGTAAAATGTATTTATATAGGACTTTTCACCGATAAAAATCACAAAGTGCTTCACAATAAAACCAGAAAGATACATAAAATAATAATATGAAACAATTAAAAAATTAATTAAAAGCTTGTTTGTATAGAAATGTCTTCGGTTACTTAAAAAAACATAAACAAAAAAACAACCTGTTATTGTCATTGTACAATGAAACTTGTGGACAAAACCATGCTGTTATATTAGATGCTGCAGTATGAGGTTTAGTATAATCTTACTGAAATACTCAAGGCATTCCCTGACAGACAGGTCATCTTGATAGGAGGTTATGTTGAAATCCTGTATATACGTTTCAGCATTGATGGTGCTGTTAATCTCATGGGAACTAAAGCACCTCAATACAATCAGAGATGTATGATTTTCAACCGAGTCTGGAGAATGTGGTATCCATGTTTTGTTTTGTTTTTTTTGTTTTTTTTACCTCAGTTAATGTCTGGAGGTGTTCCTGAGCCCATGCAATGATTCCCTATTTTGATCCCAATTGACTGATTTTCAGCCGTGTCCCTTGTTTACAGAGATTTCTCCAGATTCTTAAAATCTTTTTATGATATTGTGTACTCTGGACGATGAGATATTCCAGGTCTTTGCAGTTTTGCATTAAGGAACAGCATTCTGTGATTGTTCCACAATTTAAAGATCCATATTGAAAATGTATAAGTTCATTTTTTGGTAGATTGGTAAACCTCTGAAGATGCAGGTGTTGTCGTTCCCATAGCTGACAGAAAATGTGTCCAGGCTTCTCTCTGTGAAGCTTTTAAAAGACACTACAGGACCACATGTTGCTTTTGCGTTGCCATTTGTGTCATGGCTCTGATGTGCAATGATGAAACTCCACTGCTTTTATATTATTGTACTGGATTGCTTCACTAATTTCAAAATAAGTTTATTAAAGACACTGAATTACTGGGTGCATTTGAATCGGTTTGTGGTGCCTGTGCTGTGTGGAAGCAGCTGTGCGCAGGGCTTTAGAAACAAGATTTATGCAAATCAAGATTCACACATAATAAAGGGCACGATCAGTAACAATGAACCCAGCCATCAGAGCAGATGGTAGATGGGGGTTAAGGGCAGTGAAGACACAGATACAGAAACAGTTTTCATTGCTGTAGGAAAATTAAAAGGTAATTCTTTATTTAAACAGCCAAAAGTGTGCTGTTGTGTTTGTTGGGAAATGATGTTTGGTGGCATGAAGGTTTACTTGTTCTCTTCTGGCTGAATGCTGTCTCTCCGGCTCTTCATGGTGAGCCGGAAGCAGCTAGACATCCATGTGTAGATGTTTACAGCTAATTGAATGAACATTGTCATGCTTATCTCAGCGTTCTTGTAGATTTCCCCCCCCTCTTTATTCTCATCCAGATCACACACCACTCAGCAGACCTGGATCTATATAATGTCCCATGAAACACAATTTTGTCTTTGGGCCCAAAGTCCTCTGGCAGGTTAATCCAGCCCTGGGGTTACACGCAGGTTAGAGTAGATAGTATTGAGTAGATCTGGTTTCTGGTTTTCACTTTATTTTACTTTGGTTTGTGCTTCCTCTGAGTGTGTTTCTGTAAACTTCACTGTTTACCGGCTGTTTTCTGTAAGTACCTACACATATAAACTTAGTCACTCTGCTTAAGGATTATTTAGGTGTGTATTTGACAGTTATACCAAACCTATTAGTTATATTTCAAAATTAAAAGCAAAAAAAAAGTCAATAAAATGCATTAGACTGTACAGGTTCAAGTGCCCAACAGTGGGCGGATCCAACCCTGAATTACACCATTAGAATAACCACCTACACAATAAAAAAAGGTTCCTGTGTGCTTATGTCTGTCTGCAGGCTAACAATCAATTAAAGGTACAGTAAGTGATGTTTGTGAGGTAACAGAATATTGTATTCATAATTAAAAATTGATTTATGGATTCTTGTAAACTAATTAAGAATTAATACATAAAAAATGCAGGTTGCCAGTTTTTGTATATATATATTTTTGTATATTATAGGCCAAGGTTTTAACAATGGACAGCTTTCACCTCGTGCTTGTATAGTTATTGCAACATCTTGTATATGAAATGTGTTTATGTTTTTTTTATTTGTTTTATTATGTGTACTGGTTGTGTTGACTCTATACAAACCAAATGCCTTCATATTATGGCATACTATGGTCCCTCATAATAGCTGTCTACAACAAAAACATGAATAGCCTATTTGACATTAATAGATGTCTGATCAATCCTTACGCAATGTTTTGGAGAGCAGGGAGAATGTTTTTTTTAAAAAAGATTTTACAACATTTGTTTTTTAAAATATCATATCCTGTCCAGTCATAATCATTCAAGTATAATAAACTCAAAGTGGAAATGTTACTGACACTGAAACAGTTGGTATTTATTACACCTACTTCTGTGTAATTAAAAAATCCTCCTAACTGGCATTTATAATTGTATATATTAATTCAGTATTAATTAATACTTCCTTGATCACCACTTAACCTAACATGTGTTTGTTTTTGGACCATTGTACTTTGGAGAAGGTCAAACATGTAAACTCCGTAAAGACAGACCCCAGCCAGGATTTGAAGCAGGAACTTGCTGTGAAGGAGTGCTAACCACTCTGCCACCATGCTGCCCTAATACACGTCTTGTATCTGTCAAGGCAGCCTCTGACCTCTGTATGACCTCTTTTCCTTATGTGCATCATACATAATCGCTACTATATATACACAGAAACAACAGTTTACAGTTTCAAGTTTACAATTGTATTGTTACAATTGTTGAGAAATCAACAATTTCTCTTGATTTGATGCCCACTGGCACAATGATCTAAAATCCACCTGGATAGTTACAGATCAAATTTAATTCAGAACAAACTCAGCGTATAAAGGATTGTAGCTCCTGTTCAACAGTATACATTTTAGAGACATTTGTATTCTTTGTGTTTTTTAGCACTAAATGACACATTATACTCCACTCGAACGGGTTAAATTTTACTTGAACAGTGTGTGAGAGTTAAAAAGTTTAAACCTCTAATGATAGATTTAATTGATAATTGTTTATTTTATCGATGTATTGACTATCACAGAGCATAATCATTAGTTTTCTTGCCCTTTAAATAACCGGCTGGTGGTCTGCTGCTGAGCCACGTATCGCCACGTTTGCGAGCATGCGCAGTGCTCAAACGTTAGTGTTCCGGGGTAGGTCAGTGTACACAGTGTAAAAAAAGATATCATTGTGTACTCTCTTACGTGTCTATTATACTGAGCGCAGTGAAGGGCGGCAGAGGGGTGTTTTGTGAAGAAAGAGAGGCTCTGAATACGGCACCGAGATGAACTTCTTCAGAGGAGTAATAAGTGGGCAGGCAGCCGGGCCGCAGCCGTCCGGAGCGGAGACGGTAGGAAAGCAGCTGGGCTAGCAGCGGTTAGCTTACGTTTCTCCGCTGTGCGCCGTACAAACTGAGAACAGGGGGATAGAGTTGTGTTTTTAAACTAGTTATTTTTTGCTCCGTCACATAACAAACACCTAAGAGAATGTGTGAAGATACCTTTCACTTGGCGAATGACTGACAGCGAGCTAGTTAGAGGGCTAATGAGCTAAGGTGGCTAATCTGTCAGGCAGCAGTGGGAGTGTGTGTAACCTGCTGTGAAGCCACAATGAATGGAGAAATCCATGAAAGACACGGACACCAAGGACCAGCCCGTTAGGACTGTCAGCTGTTTACACGTCAGAGTTTTGTTTTGATTAACTTTAATCTGTAAATCTACTGAACATATTGGTGTGATCTTGTAAAATGAGCTAGTGTACAACATAAAAATGAACCTCGTCGTGTACGTAGGGCGGCAGCGAACTATTATCTTTAGTACTGATTGCCTGCTAATCAATTGGTTTAAAAGCACCAAAAAATAACTGAATATGTTGTACTTCAGCTGATGACAGCCATGCATAGTGTTCCATGCAGGAATCTCCTGACACATTGCTGAGATTGCAGCAGACAACCACATATAATCAGTTCTTTGTATAGTGACTGCTCAGGGAGAAAGCTGTCACTCCTGAGAATGCACAAAACACTTGAACAGAAACCTTCTCAAATTCTGCCCCCCCCCCTTGTTACTGCTCTTTCTGTGATCAGAGCTGTTAAATTAATTTACTGTTGACTTGTCGACATCCCATGCTGCAGTGCACTTTTAGACCTGCGATTCCAGCCACATTTTGCTTTTGCTTTTGGAATAGGACCTGTATGAAAATGAAAGCAGTAAACCTCCCTATAATAAGTGCATCTGGTGGGCCTTTTTTGGGGGTGGGTTGGGTCCACTTGTCCCCTTTGTCTCGGCAAATCAATACAAAGTTGTCACCTTCGTCCCATGATGGGAGTGGTGTCTTCTAGGGTGACATGAAGGATTACTGAATGGTTTGAGTATTAGAGCGATGCAAGTCATTTTCTGTGGCCTTTGCAATCAGCCAGATCTCAGTTTAGACAACTTAGACACTTTATCACACTGTCACAGTTGACTTTAATTTCATGGCAGTTTGCATTAAACATGTGTTGACTCATCATCTTAGTAATAAGAGCTAAGCAACTTGAGATGCAGGAGACATCGTGCATTCACACTTCACACGCCTTTTCATAAGTGATACGTAAATCTTACTGAAGTGACCAAGGTGCACATTAAGACACA